TCGGGCATATTGAGGCCAATAGTGGAGTGAGAAGCCACGTGAACCACGTGTGGTTGCCGATTCTTTTCGAATTGGGAACTACTGTGTGTCCATATTGTAAACTGTATGGCTGTGAAAGCAGTTGACCACCCCGCGTTTTGAGGGGCTGTCGGTGGTGGACTACCAGGGATATTGTTGAAGTTAGTCAATGTGAAGTGTTGTTCCACGCCCTGTAAGTAGTTTTACAGCGGACTGCGTTGACAGATAGAACGAAGCCAGGAAAAGGCCAGCTCCCGTTATTGAGAAGCTCAAGAAGAGCGGTACCAGGCGTTTCACTAAATTGCTTGGTAAAGTGGACGCCTTCGCCGACGATATGAGTGGTTCCTCTGATTCCCGAGATCACTTGCCGTCAGGTGTGGTATGAGACGGGACAGCAACAAACTAGGTGCACACGTCGGGTATGGAAATGACCAGCCGGTTTAAGTGTTGCAGAAGGACAAGTTGCTTCCCAACTTCCGCATCCGCGGTCGACCTCGTGTCAGGCTACACACAGTAAAGTCTGTAGCTAAAAGTCGTTCTTGTAACACTACTACTAACCAGGTTGGTGGATCGGCTTTTGGGTGCACCTGCAGTCCGAAGGACTAACAAGCGACGGCTGTCCGGCAATTTTTCTGACTGTCCTTAGTCAGTATTTTGTGTGGTAGTAGGCCATTTGCTCACCAGGCCAAAGTATGGCTGTGATTAATTGATTTTGATCTCAATTGTTGTATTTTTCTTTCACTGTACGTAATTCCTTGGTAGCATGGCCCTGATGTTCTACTTGGAAAAGCTAGGCGGGATAATGCAATGTGTGGTTAAATTGCGGTGGCGCAGTCACTGGTAATGGCAGTTAGAATTGAGGGAACGGCGAATCAAAGGAGAACAGAATCTAGTGATTTGCAAAGACCAGATAGTCAAATGACATTCTGTCCCCTCCTGGATAAAACCGATTCGAATGACCGCGCATTTACTCCAGCATACTGCGTCGGAGTCAAACACGGACCGCGCAAGAACTCAAAGCTGACATTTATTTATACTAATGCGTGAAGCCTAGTTTCTAAAATGGATGAACTGAGGATCAACGTATCCGACCTCCGACCTCAAGTCACTGTTGAACACAGTGACAGGCAACCTACGGATGCCATTGTGCAGGGCAATGAACTATGCGTAGGGTGTTAAGGGTATTTTGTTGGTTTTTTTGGTTGCCGTTCTTCAATTTGATTGGTTGAGTTTTGCTTAATGATTCGTGGGTTCAATCTGCAGTCTTCGCTTAATTATTGGTGGAAAGGTGTGCAGTTTTAGTTTGCGCACAACTTGAACATTTTCACGTGAGCTGTCATGG